TTCACAGTTGTACAACTAGCCAACTGAATAAATTATAAAGTATGTATATTCTACTGCCATAGGAYAGTGCTAGTTTAGCTGGTAAACAGAAATGACTAACATATTTTTGCAATGTCAAATAAACCAATGCTGTGTTCATAGTAGAATGTATAGGATAATTTCAAATATTATTTTGTTATTTTTTATGAAACATTGCCTGTTTGATTAATTTTTAAAAATGTATTCAGTGACAATAGCATAGAAATATTTCTGCTTTTATATTTTAATTTAGTTAACATGGAGCCAGGCATGCATGGAGCCAGGCATGGCTAATTCAACACTATGTTTATAAACTATATCCTTAAATAAATATMTTTGAAATGGAAGTTCTGTGATAAAATTTCAAGTGATTGCTGTGTTGGGCCATGATTTTAATTTCTGCAAAATATTAATGCTAAGAAAAAATATTTTAAATCATTAAGACAAAAATGTCCTWTGATACAGAAGTAAACATTCATGCTGTTTACTTCCTATTTTATGTGAAAATATGTGTATGTTAAAATGTATTTTATATTATGTTTCTCCTTTGTGAAAATTAGTCTTGGATTAGGCAAGGACTTTCAGGATTTAGCTTTCCTGAAGCTTCCTTTAAGTCCAGGCCCCAAAATAGGACCAGTTGCTTATTTGTTTGGATTCTTAGAATACTCTGAAACACATTTCTCTATGTCAAATTTAAAGAAGCTGTCCTTCCTCTTTAAAAAAAAAAAAAACACACACATTTATTTTTTAGTTATAGGTGAACACAATATCTTTATTTTATGTGGTGCTGAGGATCCAACCCAGTGCCTCACACATGCCAGTCAAGCACTCTACCTCTGAGCCACAACCCCAGCCCCTGTCCTTCCTCTTAAGCTTTGACATTGACATCTTGTTTCTGAAAGACCTAGTTGTTGGAGTATAAATTCCCCAGTGTCTAACATTTTCAATGCTTTGGCAAAGTAGTTTTGTAGAGGAAAGAATGAGCTCTTCACACTAATTGTTAACTTTAGACAGCCAGTTTCTCAACTCTGGTGYTTGTTAGATATTTCTCTTCTCTGTTCCAATTCCCAGAGAAAATTAATCAGTTATATGTACACTGCTGGATGTACAGATTACTGTAATGTGAACTAAGGTACAGGACTTGTTTAATTTTATCTTTTGTAAGAGCATGTTAAAGATATTGAAATGCCAGAATTGCAGTCATTTTGTCATATTGTCATTTGTAGATAATCTGAAATAGAACATTTCTCTATGGAATAATATTTTCCAAGGACCTACTTAAATCGAAGAAATATTCCTAAATAMATCAGTTGAGCATTATGTTGTAATTCATATATGCCAACAGTTGTGAGTTTAAGGAAAACATTAATTTACTTAAAATTAGCATTTTTGTTTATCTCATTTTTTAATTAGATAGGACATGTCTGTTTTTCTGTGCAGGTTGTAAAAAATGATGTAGACAATATCATACATGTAACATTATRCAGTTTACTTTTCTATATTTTAGATATAAATCCCTTATATATGATTTACAAATTTTTTCCCRTTCTATACATTGTATTTTTATAAAGAATCTGTTACTGAACTCAAAGTCAGGAAGATTTATCCCTGTTTTCATCTAAGGATTTTATAATTTTGTTCTTAAAATTAGGTTTTGATCCATTTTGAGCTGATTTTTATAGGTAATGTGACATGGGTCCAACTTCATTCTTTTGCATGTGGCTGTTCTATAAACCAAACACCATTTGTGCAAAAGATTTTCTCTACTGTATGATCTTAGCACACCATAGATGGATGGATTTATTTCTTGACTCTCAATCATATTTCATTGACCTTTCTATTGTTTCTCCAGTACCACACTATCTTGTTTGCTGTTGCTTTGTAGTAAGTTTTGAAATCTGTAAGTTCTCCTACTTTACTTTTTCCCCCAGATCATTTGGATTGTTCTGGGTCTCTTGTAATTCCATATAAATCAGCTTGTCATTTATACCCAAATTCAACTGGTATTCTGATAGGGAAAGCATTGAGTCTGAACGGTTAGGAGAGTATTGCCATTTTAACAATGTTAAGTTTTCCAATTCTTGAACAGAAAATGTTTTTGCATTTATTTAGGTCTTTTTAAGTTTCTTTCAAAAACATAACTTTTAGAGCATACATTTTGGACTTCTTTTGTTAACTTATTTCTAACCATTTCATTCTTTTTGATGCTTGTGAGTGGAATTGTTAATTTCATTTTCTTTGTTACTGGTATTATAGAAGCACAATTGATTTTTGCATGCTAATTTTCTATCCTGCTAATTTGCTGAATTCATTTTATTAATTCTAATAGTTTGTGTGTGTCTATGAGTGGAATGTTATAGGAGTTTTTAACTTACAAGATGATGCCAYCTCTGTTAAGATAATTTTACATCTTTCCAATCTAAACACTTTTTCCCCCTCTTTTTCCTGTCTAATTAATCTGACTAGAACTTCTGACACTGTTAAATAGAAGTGCTGGCAGCAGCATCCTATCTTGTTCCTCATCTTAAAGGAAAATCTCTTGATCATATGTAGATTTTATTGTGTTTGTGTGGTTTTCTTCCATTTCTATTTTGTTGAGTATTTTTAATTATAATRATGTTGAACTTTATCAAATATATTTCTGTATCAACTTATATTATCTCTTTTTCCTTTATTCTACTAGTGTGATATATTATATTGATCAATTTTCACGTGTTGAAACATATTGCATTCCAGGAATAAATCTCACTTGGTCATGGTACATAGTCAGTCCTTTTAATCGGGTGAACTCACTTTGTTAGTAATTTGTTGAGGGTTTTTATATACATTTTTATAAGAGATATTGGTCTGTAATTTTCTTGTTATGTCTTTGGTTTTAGTACTGGCCTCATAGAATAATTTGGGAAGTGCTCCTTCCTCTTTAGTTTT